GGCGCGGCGCCTGATGATGATGCTGCAGGGCCTCGTCAGCCACTAGACCTTCATTTAAAGCGTGTTGCAGAAGGATAGTTTCTTCAGATCATGAGTCCATTTTTTTGTTAGGAGTCCGTGAATGTTTTAGAGGAGAAAGCAACAAGCACAGTTGGAGCTCGAGGATGGGGTGCGCTGTTGGTTGGAGATGAAGATGAGAGCTCCTGAATGACTGAGTTTGAAACCTCTCACTTGGTTCGAGAAAGAAAGTTCCCTCCAGCCCACCTGTCCCTCCACACAACCCTAAATTCAGCTCCTTCTCCCCTTGTTCTATTTGTTCCCATTCCTCCCCCTGCTCTATCTGCACAAGTGAAGTGTCAAGTTAGGAAATAGAAACCTTTTTTTTGTTAATTTTTTTTCCTGGACAGACCTTCAGTGCAAGACAATAATGATCTGGACAACTCAGAAGTTCTCTGTAGATTATTCCCGACCCTTGTTACTGCTGCTTTTTCCCAGCCAAGAGGCATCCTGGTTGTCTCTCATCCTTTTCTTCGAAACGACAGCCAGAGAGCTGAGATTTCTGGGCATCCCTGTCCCAGACACATCACACCTGACACCCCTTTGATGTCACTTCACCCAAATGTGCATAAGACTCAAAGAATGTTCAACCGAGCGGTCCACAAGACCAAACGTCGCTGTTTCTTTTGTTCCACTTGTGTTCCTGTCAGTCAGACATGTTACGTTTTTGGGATACTGAGCAAGTTGTGACGCAGAGGCTTCTTCAGAAGTACGCTAAAAGACATGTTTCGCCCCAAAATGTCGCCTTGTATCTTGGCCTTAAGAGCAAACAGCAGGCTTGGACACGTTTTGTTTTTCTTACATACAGACCAGCATCCTCGCTAGAGCCAACTTGGAATTCAGACGCTGCAGGATTACGCTGTCCTCAGTTCAGTTCCTTTAAACAACCGCGCTAATCCGGGCAACCAGAAGTATGTAACACCCAAAGCCATTTTATGTTGGTTGCATATTTCCTTTCAGTTATTTCTTAATAGGTTGGAGACGACAACCTTGCCAGGCCAGATCTGTCAGTGCTTTGAAGAGAATCAACACGTCAAATTGTTTCGCCGAAAGTTAATAGAATTTGTTCCTGCGTTTGAAGTATTCAGGATGAAAAGCATATCTCATTATACTTTTTCCATCTGGCCTTGTTTTCACAAATCATTCTAATGACGGTTTCGGAAGGATACAAACAAGATTAAAGGATGAGAAACAACATTTTTCAAAGGTAACAAATATTTGCGAAGGTCCTCCAGGCTGAATAGAATTCCCCTGTAGAATCTGAAATGTTTGGCAGCCGTCCATGTGTACAGCTCTGACCTGTAAATTGATCAGATTTCTTCTCCCCATGTTTTCTTCTGTATGTCAGTCCCTTTTTTTTTATATAAACATTTAGTATTTGTAAGACTTGTATACTTGCTTTAAGAGTCGTCAAACTCGTTATAATACATAAAAAAACACTTCCTAAACATAATTGTTACTGATGTTATTTTATCAGGATATTCCAAATAATGGTTGTAAACTCAATGTGCAGTAACTTCTCATAGGCTGTAGGCGGCAGCACTTAGTTGGACTGCAGAGATTCACCCTGCTTGCCGTTTAGGTTTTTGCATCAGAAATCATTCCTGCTCTTACAGTATCTGTTTTACCAAACATTGAAACGCCTGCCTTTTAGGTTGTAAATGCACCGTTTGTTCATCTTGTGTGTTGAAAGTGTATGACAATTTGTGTACAGCTCATTTACACACATCATTGTTTAATTGCAGGGTGGCCACACTGTTTTTGCTGATTGTAAAATAAAGGTTCTGTTAATTTGACCTCTGTGTTTAGAATCTGTTCAGTTGGATTTGCCTAGCAAGTGCCTTATTGCATTCTACATGATTTACTTTAACATTTGATCCCATTTGGGCCATTATACAGCTTGTAACGCTCCGGCGTTATCCCATAGCGGCTCCGTTTCACTTTTACAAGCATTTATGTCACTGAGAGGTCATTTGTGGCTGGTTCTGAAGTAAGGCCCACACAGCAGAGCAGAGGAGAGTCTGTATGATTTGTTTGCAAACATTTGACTACCAACACAGCTGATTTGGACAGAAAATTGAGAGAAGCCCTATTTTGTCCTCTTTCAGCTTTCATTTACAGAGCCTGGGTTATTTTCCCCAGAGCAGAAGGACAGGTGGTCTCCTGCTTGGTCCCGAGTGGGAGCTGTGTGGTAGAAACATGACTGAGGATAGTGTGTATGTTATTTTTTCTCTTTCACTTTGTTCATTTCCCTCTGCTTGGATGGTTATGTTGTATCTTTTACAGTTTATTTTACCCTAAACATTTTGGAATAAAAAGACTTGTTCAATTTATTGTGTCTTGATTTGTATGTTGTGTACTAACAAAGAACAGTCAACAGTCCGTTCCCCCTGAAGACAAAGCTAGCATCGGTCCCTGAAGATGGGGATTCAGAGCCTTGCTCATGGTTACTTCCGTTGCACACAGTGGTGGAAAGTAAATAACTTTTTGTGGTATTTGCTGACTGCATCCTGACAGTAGAACATGAGACAGATAATCAGTGAAACAATCAGGTTCCTCTGGCTCCTAGAGCTCCTAATGGTATTTACAAGAATCCACTGGGCCTGAACGAAAACAGCCAATCAGAGCCGAGAAAGATAGGTCCCAGATCCTGAGAATGAGACTCATCAATCAACTATAAAAAAAATGCATGAAAACTTGAAGCCACCGACCCAAAGTGTCAGTAAAAAGTTACCTACTGCAGTACAATTTGGAGGTACTTGTACATTACTAGTGCTTTTACTGCACTACAGCTCAGAGGGAAACTACTTCACCCTCCCTCCACAACGTGTATTTAACAGCTTTTACAATAAAAAAAATTTTACACTACCGAAGTGACATTTCCCCCTTCATACTCTCAAACAAACAAAGACCTGCCACAAGAATGGATATAAACTAGTGTAGCAGAACTTCTTTCCCTCTCTTTTCTCCCATTACCCATCTCTGGAGCCCTCAGATTTAATTTGTGACCCTTTGAAGAGAGCCTAACTGTTAGGTTGGGAACCACTGGACTTTACTCCCTAACAGTGTACAGAGTAGTTAGGTCACCATCTACAGCCATCTGTTAATGTCATAATAAAACATCATCACAAGGGCATTTCTTCTGCAGTGAGTATATTTTGCTGATAACACTGATAATATTTCTGTGCTTTTACTTAAAGACCCCTCCACTCTTTAATCAGTGTTTCTTCTTGTCCCTACAGTGTGCTGTGTGAATGCTGTCTGTGCAGAGTTTGACTCTAGAAGGATGTTTTCACATTCATCTGCTGAAAGTGGAAAGTTTTGTACTGATTTTAAGGGGCGGGGCCTACCAGCATGATTTGTGACATCACAAATAGTTAGGAAGTCAGTCCTGGTCCAGTATGTAACTTGTACAGTGTGATGTAGAAACTTGAAGCCACCAATGCACATCCACTGATAGTGGACTTTACAGTGAAGGAGGAGACATCTTGTGTCCATCAGCAAAACTTTCTTGTTAGAAGTGGAGGTCACATGACTGCTGGATTGGAGATCACAGGGGCACACTTCACTGAAGCAGACACAGGTGTGCTAATTGAGTAGTTGACACTAAGGGCCTGTCTCACCCAATACGATGTCGTGTCGAAAAAAATCTCTGTAAACACGGCGTCGTTTCCAGAAATATCTGCGTCCACACGGATTCACTGCAATTACCCAAAACGCTGTAGTACATATGACAGGCCTGTATGTGGTGCTGTGACGCCGCCACACCAATACACTAAAACCGGAAGAGAAGCCATGGAGCATGCGCTGTTTACAAACAAGTAGTCCGCCATTGTTGTTGTTGTTATGACGCGTCTAGCAGCGGCGGCTGAGGTTAAAGGCTAGAGAGGCGGGGCTAATACGTCATCGTTTCGGAAATAATCGGTTTCGCTGTCCAGACGACTCCGGGCAATCCGGTGTTTTTAGATTTTCCCACTCTGGGACCCATTTCCAAAAAATACCGTTTTCACATCCCGAAGACGTCGTATCTGTCTGGACGCGAGGCCGATGCAAGAGTATTTATCCGGATTCGAGAAAAACGTATTTGTGAGGACAGGCGCTTAGTGTCCTGACTGAGTTCATTCACTGTTTGCACTTTGACTGAGGAGGTTCCCTTTGTTTACTGTTTCTATGATATTCCAAATGTTTTACTTTGTCATTGTATGTTGTACATCTAATTTCTTTAGTTAATTTTGACATTTTGATATTTACTGAAAATATCCTGACAGTAGAACATGAGACAGATAATCTGTGAAACAATCAGGTTCCTCTGGCTCCTCCTAGTGCTCCTAATGGGATTTTTAAGAAAACAACCAATCAGAGCCCAGAAAGATAGTTGATTGTTGAGAACAATAGCAAATACCAAAGTTTTGGGTTGGAGACTTGAAGATTGATTTTTGAGACCTGGAATGAGACTCAAGAGTCAGCTATCTTTCTTGGCTCTGATTGGTTGTTTTCATTCAGGTGTGACGCATGCCATTAGGAGCACTAATGAGTTATTATCTGTCTCATGTTCTACTGTCAGGATATAGTGGAAGTTATTTTCATAAAAGTTACCTACTGCAGCTTTAATGTGTCTGTATATTTTCTTTTAATTGTAGAAATGAAACCACTCAACTGCACACCGTTTGACAGAGACAATAAATGCTTTCAAATGGACCCTGCTGGTTTGTCTTTTTAAGCATATTGTTTGTAGGCTATATATATATATTGGTTCCTGTCTGGGTAGGATTTTAAATGTAGGAATTCACTTCTAGGAGGGTCTGAATACCTCGAAATCCTCCCTGCTTCCATCCTTCCATCCACAAGAGACCTGGCTTCACGTGGTGCAGCTCATCTGGGACTCTGCGAGCTCTGGCCTCTCCTCCTCCTCCTCCTCCTCCTCGGCACGGACGCGCCCTCCCCTTCAGCGGAGCACTGTGGATGCTCTCACACTGGAGTACAGAGCTGCACCGAGGACAGGAGGGAGACACACTGACCAGCGCCGAGGAGCGGGACGGTTGTGGGCTGCCTTTTCTATTTGGAAGAACAACTTGGGAATTCCGGTGCGAGGCTGAAACTTCTTCGGGAAAAGGAAGGACGACTTGTCGGGTCAGCATGGCATCTCTGATGAACTCTGCGTGCCTCCTCTTTTTGCCTGTTGCTCTGCTGCTGAGTAAGTACCCAAAACATTTGAGTGATTCTGTGGAACTCGTATTTCTGACTTATTCTGCGGTGGTAAGAATTTTCTATTTGGAGAAGTTTTGGAGTCCTTGCGCGTAACCGGGTGATGCAGATCTGGACTGAAGTGCTTTAAAATGACTGATCTGTATGTATTGAGACAGACGTCTCTGCGCACCTCGAAGTTAGAGGGTCCCGTAGCTTCCCACCTTCATCCCCAGCATCCCGCGGAACACGTGCCGCTGCTGCAGGAGCGATCCGATCAGGGATCCGATCATAAAAACCAAAGATAGCTCAAAGGTTGTGGGTGCAGCAGGCTCAGTGTATCTGCTCCCAAAGTTGGACGCGGGATCATTACGCAAACTGCCGTCGTGATTTTCATTGAGTGTGATCTGGCTGCATCTTTCCAGCTGTGCTCCACGCGACAAACAGCTGCTGGTGAACAGCTGGAGTGGAATATAAGATAATTTCCCCACAGCCCTTTAATGCCTCAGCTCAGTCAGGTTACTTACACATGATATAATAGTGCAGCAATGGTAGATTCATTCATGTTAAATGGGCACATGATGGGAAGCCTTTATGTCAAACTGATATTAGAGGCTCCTCTTGTGCTCCCACCTTGCAGGTTAACTGAATGCAATGAAATGATTAAGTGAAGTGAGAGCTATTTCATATTGCACCCCCATGAAGTTGGAGCAACACAACTCACAAGAGACAGAATTTAAAACATGATCAGAATCATTGCTGCAGAGATTGAGATATCCTGATCTTTAGTCGCTAGAATGGGTGAAATCCTACATTTCCCATCATGCAACTTGACAGCACCTTTCATTAAACTGTCCTTGTCCGGCAAATGCCAACATCTTTCAAACTCCATCCCCACAGTCTGTAGTAACAAAGACTTTATTTTAAATCAGTAGTCTCTCTAAACTCAAGCCGAGGTGACCGGTTACATCGCTATGACATCATCGGGTTATTTTTTTTCAGACTCTGGAAAGGTCCCTCCAGAGTATTACACAATAGTCCTCTCAGGCAACATAGTACTCTTTATAACGAGTATGTCAAACTTTATGTGTAAAACTGGCGGAGTGGCCCTTTAAATGAGCAAGAACCCTCAATTACATCGGCATTTAGTTTAAATGAAACCACGTCTAATCCACTTTAAAGTATGTGTTAAAAATCATCATCTTCATTGATCATCATCCCATGCTGCTGCTCATGTCAGAGCAATGAAGAGGGGGTTGGATGAGGGGTCCCATGGGAGTGTGACACCGTGGGGGGAAGAAAGATAAAAAGTCCCACCGATGGAGATAAATGATGAATGAATCGCATCTGTCCCCCTCCTCCGCTCAGCAGTCTCTGGGGACTCTGTTCAGCACCGCATCTGAACCTGATCAGGAAACGCTCCTCTGCTGCTGCTGCTGCGTCTGTCTGTCTGTCTGTCTGTCATCTCCCCCATTCACTCAGTCTGTCCCTCAGCTGACACATCATGTTACTGACACACACAGAATAGGCTCCTTCATGTATTAATACAGGCTGATATTTTTACATGAAACTCTTACTTTGCTCCCATCAAACTGTGTGTGTGTGTGTGTGTGTGTGTGTGTGTGTGTGTGTGTGTGTGTGTGTGTGTGTGTGTGTTGCATCTTGTCACCTTTGACTCAAACTGTCATCAGTTACACATACTTATCTGAAGATCAAACACGTTTTAGTAAGAAAAGCATCCCTCAACGCTTCAAATGCACTGACAGACAACCAATAAAATTGGCTAAGATGAATAATAGCCTATAATTAGTATTTCTTTGTCATATTTACTGACAGTATTTATAGCTGCTTTTGATCACTACGGAGCTTTACAGCACAGAGCTCCTCTTCCTGTGTCATACAGGAGTACACCCATGTAGTAAGTCTTTCCAGTGTATCTCGTGGGTCTATACTCCGTCTCGAGGTAGGACTTTCACAATATTTATTCTGCAGATGTTTCAATTTTTTTTCTTCTAAAAGTTCCTCAAAGGAAAAAGGAAGTGGTTTGATGCAGAATCGTGAGAAAACTTAATCTGCTCAATATGTGCACAAATGCATGTAGGCACTCCAAAGTACAAAAATCACATAGAAGCTCGGAGGAGCAGCTGTGCAGGATTTCATCGTGTTTCAGGTTATCCCTCTTCCCCAGCTGCATCGAGAGGGTTGTGCTGACGTCTCTCTAGAAAAAAGGGAAAAGAAGGAAATTATACACTGATTGCACCACATCCAAAAAGCTGTAAATACAAACAATGTTTGTTTTTTCGTAGCATAGTAGAAAAGCTCAGGTGTAAATAGTAAAATGAATGATGGCTGAACTCAATTTAGCAGTTTGATGTTCACCTGTGCTTGTAGACATTAGACACTTTATGTCTCAGAGACTGGCAGCATTAGAAACAAGGGAAATATGACAAGGTATCCGTATAAAGGCATTTGGATAAGGTATGTGAACAGTGACAGTGCAAACAGTGCAGTATAACAAGGTAGTGCACAAGAGACATGAGCACAGAAGTAGTGTCCCCTATCTGTATAGAATACATTAAAGGCATGTGCATGACAGGTAAACTGTAACAGTGTCAGAGCACTTGGAGTAGCTAAATGCTGATTCCAAAATGTTAACATGTTCACAGCATCGACATATATGGACATTGCATCTCCACTTCCTTCCACTGTCTGATAATGGAGCCAAAATATCCCAGATACGGCCACTGCAATCTTTGGCCCTTCAGAGCCAGAGTCTGTGCAGGAGTGATCGGTGGTGGTGCCGTGGTATCGAATGTATTTGACTTGTATTGTATTGTACTTTGATTTGTTTAGTTTGGCCCAAGTCCCATCTGCTAACATGGAGACACTGGGCAAGATGACCTATACTGCAACCAGCCACCAGGGGGCAATCAAGATTTTTTTGGCTTCACTTTTGAAGAGTCATGGTGTATCTTCATATATGTCGATGGTTCACAGTGATAATGCTACTGTGTTTAGCATGCGTAATATTTACCATGTGTTAGCATGCTAACATTAGCACTAAACACAAAACTAAAGTATAAAAACGACAATTGACTTAGTTTAGCATGTTAGCAGTAACTGCATTGAGTCTCCACTGGTTCCCTAGCGTTGTTACACTCTGATCTGATTAAACAAACAAGACTAGAGCGGACAGAGCCAGACTAGCTGTTTCCAGTCTTTATTAAGTGTAAACCTATCGTGACATCACTGATTGGTTTGTGGAGTACCGTTTTGAAGCCTTAAGGTTGGGGTTATGGTTACAGTTTGTTGGAGCCAGCGGCGGTGTCATCCTGCGAGTGGAGCTGCTCTCATTGGCTGCACAGTTTCAACTCGTCAGTAGTAGGAAACAATGGCAGCTCGTCACACATGATCTCGTATTACAGATAAACAGTACACTAAAATATGTTTCTTTATCTTTAACAGAGCTTAAGCACAGGTCTTTTTGCTACCAATGGAGCTCCCCCTGCTGACCATTAGGAAGAATGCAGATTTAAGACACTTCTATGTTGGCTTCACGTCTCAGACCTGAAAGCTCTGTCCACTACTTACATACTGTCAGTGGTCTTTAAGCTATGCTAAGCTAAGCTAAGTAGTTACTGGCTCCGGCTACATATTTACTGCACATGCATCCAATTTTGATCATATTCTCAGCGAGAAAGTGATAAATATGTGTTTCCCAAGATGTCAAACCGTTCCTTTAACATGAGCTCAAAGTCCTTGTAATGAAAATATTACATTTGTTGTTAGAACACAGACCATGTCTGTCTTCCTCATCTCTCCAACTATGTATCAGTTATCTCTTTGTCTCCTCTGTCTCTGCTCAAAAAGCTGCAAGTATCAAGACCCGAGACATGGAGAGGTTTCCCCTGGGTGCAGGTCTCCACTCTGCGTCATCAACGGCCCGATAATCACATTAAAAGCAGTCCATAGGCGAGAGGGAGATTATATTTGGCTTTTAATTGTTCTCCTCAGGAAACACTTCCTAACCTCCCTCTCTCTCGAAGTTCCCTCTTGGTCAACCGCTGCTATTTCGAGGTGTTTTTTGCCTAAACTGCGGCACAGACTCATGAAGTGGAAGATTCCTCATTAAAATTGGTATAAAAGTCTTGAGGAAAACGGCCCTTGCTTCCCCTCCTCCTTCCTCCTTTCTTTCCTCCCTATCACAAAGATCACAGTCTCTAGCGCTCAACGCACACACCTTAGACACACACGCACAGCTGTGTCCACCACACTGCACACTTTTTCTATCTGCTTCTTCCTCTCCTTTTTCCTCCTCCTTTCCTTCCCTCACTTCCAGCAAACCTCATTTCCTCGTTTCTCTTACTTCTCATGTCTCTGCAGTCATTTTCTATCTCCATGCCATCGCTCCTCTTCCTTTTTTGTTTTAAACTTGCTCCATCTCTCATGTCTCTGCTTCTTTCATCATCTCTTCCTACTCTTTTTTTTCACCCTTCTCCGTCCTCCCTTCGTCCTTTTCATCAGGGATTCACAAATATTGATGAATTAGATAGCAAGAATCCCACGTCACATGTTTCAAATCAAAGCAGAGCCGCTTTATTTCCAGGGTTTTTAATCTTTTAGAACGCTCTTAAGAGTTCTCATGGGGTAAGATATATCTCATAGGCCGCACAGTTTGACTGATACAGGAAACATCTCAGCAATGATTACTTTGCACCAAAGATGGAGTAGAAATAAGAAGGCTGTACAACCATTTGGGCAAATATTTACTCCTCTCATTCACTTCATTGTATGGATGAGTTCAGTTCAGTTTCGGCATCAAATCAAGGTTTCAGTGATGAGAGGGATAAGTGGTGGCATGGTTTTGTTAGACCGAAGACAAGTCTGAGCTTTTAATGCTGTTATGTCTCAGTAAAGAAGACGTCTTGAAAGTGATGAAGAGATTTTAACCTCATCAATCACCCAGCAGCAGTGTGATCGACATACTGGCACCATTACAATTGATACTGA